CACTGAAAATTAAGGGTTTTTTTTAATAGTTTGGGAAAAATTGTTAAACTAATTTAAGAGAACACTGATTTCTTTCTTAAAAGAATTGGTGACCCTAAAAAAACGAAGTGTTCTGAAAAGCCTCAATGCACCATAGGTATGAAGTATATGATTGTTTTGATCTCATTAACATTCAATCCCTCCCACTGCAATGGTCTTAGGTTATGGATGCTTTATATATGCACTTCATGTATCCACTTAAGTGGAATGCTTTAAAAAGGAGGAGGATTGAAAAGACTTTTAGGCCTACATTATGTCTAAAAGAACTCAAATTAATTCCTGGTTACCTGGGAAATGCAGCACATTTGCACAGAAGAAAATCTAAAAGAAATTGCAGATCTGGTTAAATGAGTTGAGAGAGATTAGCCAGAATAGAATTTTCTGCTTTACAGTAAAATATTGGTGAAATATTCACAATCAAGTGGATGGAACCTCAGTTTAATATCTCACCGAAAAGGCAGCAAATTTAATAATGCAACACAGTCACAATGTTGCAGTGAAAATATCAGCCAGGTTTTGGATAAAGGCTTAGAGTCTGAAATTCTCCAATGTAGGGGCATGAACATTATTGTTTCTTTGCTTTCAACTATATCCCATATATAAAATTTGGAGTCCCACAGAACAAATTTATTTTCAAGTTTCCATGCTTGTTTCTGAAGAAGCGTCACTGGATCAGAAACGTTACTCGGCTTCCTCTCCAAAGATGCTGCCTGACCTAAGTTTTTCCAGCAATTTATGATTTTGTTTCGTTGTTTGTTATTTACTATCTTGTTTTTTTTATCATTGTGTAAACAGTTGACTTTGTTTTTTGTTGAGTTGTGATTTTTTAATTGTTTAAGACATGGCCTCCTTTTCCTGGGATGCTTTGTAGAATCCCTACAGTGTGGAAGCAGGCCATTTGGCCCATCGAGTCCACACCAACCATCCGGAGCATCCCATCCAGATCCTATCCCTGCATTTCCCGCCCCAGACACCATGGGCAATTTAGCATGGCCAAACTACCTAACGTGCACATCTTTAGACTGTGGGAGGAAACCACAGCACCCGGAAGAAACCCACACAGACCCAGTGAGTATGTGCAAACTCCACACAGACAGTCACCCAAGGCCGGAATCGAACCTGGATTCCTGGTGTTGTGAGGCAACACCACTGTGTCATCGGCAATCCTTCTAACAAAACATGCTTCTGGCCCCACTAACCCTAACAGCGCATTTGTGTATGAGCGGAGGGGTTAGACAGGGTGTAGAGATTCTCTCTGTTTTCTTTGTCACATGTGTGGCCTGTTTATTTCACTGGGCAGTATATTCCAGATTGCTGCATGATGTGGCAGCTTAGAAGGAACATTGGTAGCAGGAGATATCTCAACAATACCTGCAGAACACTTAAACCTGTGCAGACTATTTCTCATATCAGATGCTGCGAACTGATTTGCTCCCCGAGATCCACCAATGCCACTTAGAAATGTTAGAGCACAATTCTTAGGCACCTCCTCCTGTTATTTCTTTCCAGACAGAAAATGCATAACTGTCCCTTGGTACCTCCATTAGCAGCACTGTTGAACTTTGGAATTCAGCATGTAGGTTAATTGCAGATGTTCCATAGTTATGGTACACTTATAAAGTCATAGTGTTGTACAGCACAGAAGCAGACCCTTCGGTCCAACTCATCCATGCCGACCAAATATCCTAAATTAATTTAGTCCCCTTTGCCAGCATTTGGCCCATATTCCTCTAAACCCTTCTTATTTATGTACCATCCAGATGCTTTTTAAATGTTATAATTTTACCAGCCTCCACCACTTCCTCCACCAGCTTATTCCATACACGTACCACCCTCTGCATGAAAAAGTTATCCCTTAGGTCCCTTTTGTGTCTTTCTCCTCTCACCTTAAACCTACACCCTTGAGTTTTGGATTTCCCTACCCTGGGAAAAAGACCTTGGTGATTCTCCCTATCCATGCCAGTCATGATTTTATAAACCTCTATAAGGTCACCCCTCAGCCACAAAACCTCTAGGGAAAATAGCCCCAGCCTATTCAGCCTTTCCCAATTGATCAAACCCTCCAATCTTGGCAACATCCTCGTAAATCTTTTCTGCACCCTTTCAAGTTTAACAACATCTTTCCCATAGCAGGGAGACCAGAGTGAATGCAGTATTCCAAAAGTGGCCTCACCAATGTCTGTAAAGCCGCTACCTGACTTCCCAACACCTATACTCAATGAAAGCAAGAACTGCAGATGCTGGAGTCAGAGTTGATACAGTGTGGAGCTGCAGGAACACAGCATGCCAGGCAGCATCAAAGGAACAGGAGAGTTGATGTTTCAGGCCTAGATCCTGATGAAGGCCAGTGCACCAAATGCCTTCTTCACTACCCTGTCTACCTGCGAGTTTACCTTGAAGGATTTATGAACCTTAACCCCAAGGTCTCTTTGTTTGGCAACACTCCCCAGGATCTACTGTTAAGTGTGTAAGTCTTGCCTTGATTTGCCTTACCAAAATGCAACCCCTCACATTTATCTAAATTAAACTCTATCTAACACTCCTTGGCCCATCTGATCAAGATCCTCTTATATTCTGAGATAACCTTCCTCACTGTCCACTACACCACCAATTTTGGTGTCATTTGAAAACGTGCTAACCATTTCTCCTATGTTCACTCCAAATCATTTATATAAATGACAAAAATCAGTGGACTTGTGAACAACATTTTCCCCACGTTTGCATGGGTTTCCTTCAGGTCGTCCAGTTTCTTCCCACAGTTCAAAGATGTGCAGGCTAGGTGGATTAGCCTGGGAAATGCAGGGTTACAGGGATAGGGTAGGGGGTTGGGTCTGGGTGGGATGTCCTTTGGAGAGTCAGTATGGACCCGACAGGCCAAATGGCCTGCTTCCACACTATCGTGATTCTACAATTCTATAACTGATGTATAGTAAGGTTAGGATAATTTTAAACAAGCTTACTGAGAATTGTCTTTATGTACCCTGCTCATCTCTACTTAATAAATCATAGAATGGTTACAGCACGGACGGCCTTACACCAGCTTTCTCAAACAGCAACTCAGCTCTCCTTGCCCACTCTTTTCCTTTAACCCTGCAATTACTTTCTCTTCAGGTAATTACCCAGTTCCATCTTGAAAATCATAATTGACTCCGCTTACATCAACTCTCAAGCAGTGTACTGTTATAAAGTGGAGGTTGACCCCCATCTGAGAACTAAAACCAAAACACCCAAAAGAGGAACACCTCACCCCATAATCTGTAAAAGGAGTGTGAAACGTGGTGTAATCTGCCTTTCAGCAACTACTAGTGCTTAAATAAAATAAATCTCTGGCACTCACTTTACAATGAATAAGTAACAATTTATTTTTTGAACAGTGAACAAATTAACTAAACTATTAACAAATCAAATAAACCCCTTCTAACTACTAACTATTCCTGAATAAAGCAAGATTCTAATGGTATGCTGTTCCAATAAATAAAACTCCCATTTATATGAGATTAAAAAAAAGAATTTAGTCTCTCAAAATTACAGCTAGGTTACATGTCTTCCGGAATGCTATGTGCCTTCTCCATCCATTCCTCTGTCAGGAATATTTGCTAGCTGTGCCTTTGGTACCTTTGTTATTTAGATGATGCTTTCTGCCTGTGAGAGTCAGCGATTCTCCCTTGAGAGCTGAGGGCTGTTAACTCTGGCAGATGGCAGTTATCTCTCTGGGGTTTTGTCCAACTGCCCCCTTCTTTTATACCCTTGATGATGTATCAATATTGCGTACAGTAGTATGTTGTCAAATCCATCGTATTTAAATTTAATTGGTTTTTAGTATCTAAGTGCCTGGTTCAAATTGATTGGCTAAATTCAAAAACTTATTGTCTTGGTAAAAACTGCTAACCATACAGCCTGTTGATACAAATGTTTCAATTTGGGTGCTGTCTGTGTACTTGAAAACTTTCAAGCTGCTGCTCACAGACATTCATTTTGAATCTGTTAAGGACAGAAAAAACACATCTTTTAAAGGGACTACGCAATGCTTTCCCCCCTAACATTTTACAACACCAAATTCTAAATTCCTGCTTCCCAATCCACAAATACTCTACCAAACTTCGCAACAGTATGCTACCTCCAAACTATGTGCTGTTTAAGAAAGGTTTCTTTTTTTCCTTGATACCTCTGGTTCTTTTGCCATTAACCTGAAATTAGAGTCCTCTGGTTTTCAATTCCTAAGCCAATGGAAACTGGTTTTCCCTATTTACTTTGTCTAAACTCCTTGTGATTTTGAACATCGCTATCCTATTTCCTCTAGCCTTTTCTAGAATGATAATCCTAGCTCCTCTAGTCTTTCCATGCAACTGAAGTCCCTCTTCCCTGGAACCATTCTTGTAATTTTTTTTTCATCTGCTTCGGTGCCTGCACATTCTTCCTGGAATATATAATGTTAAACTTGGACATCTAGAATTGGATAAAATACTTGAGTTGAGGCCAAACCAGTAGTTTGAAAAGTTGCTCACACCTCCCTATTTTCTGCAGACTTCAATGACTCGTCATCAGGCAGGGTATAAACTATTAAAACTGAAAGAACTGCAGATGCTGTAAATCAAGAACAAAAACAGAAGTTTCTGGAAAAACTCAGCAGGTCTGGCAGCATCTGAGGAGAAAAATCAGAGTTAACGTTTTGGGTCCAGTGACCCTTCCTCAGAACTTAGAGTTTTGAGAACAGAGTTCTGAGGAAGGGCCACCAGACCTGAAACGTTAACTATGATTTTTCTTCTGAGATCCTGCCAGACCTGCTGAGCTTTTCCAGCAACCTATGTTTTTATTCAGCATGTAAAACATTGTTGCTCCTGATTCCGTCAGTTTCCTGGCAGCGGATTTAGGTTAATATTGCTGTCGTTGTTACACATAGTTGAAGATCAGACCAAGTGTATAAAAACCTAACCAATTTGGCTTTACATTTTTATTTTCAGACTGTCCTCTTAAATTTGTTGCAGTGTTCATTGGTATTCTACACTCTGTACTACATGATTGGAAGCGTTTGTTTTGGAGCATTCAGGTAAGTTGAATGGGGAAAGATTTCCTTTGATTACTAGCCCTACTGGAAAAATGTCTGAAAACATTATTTTATATTCTTCTATGAGATGTGGCCATCACAAAAGGCCATTTCAACCACATTGCTGTTGGTTTGAAGTCATATGTAGGCCAGATAGAATAAAGATTGTAGCTTTCCTTCCCTAAAGGGCATTAATGAACCAGATGGGTTTTTCCATCAATTGTTTTATCGTCAGCAATTTTTACAGCATTTGACCATTTATGATACAAAGATAGGTTGAGGGACAGATAGTATTGAGGAAGTGGGGAGGCTACAGAAGGACTTGGAGCTAGTGGGCAAAGAAGTGGCAGATAAAATACAATTTAGCAAAGTGTGAGCTTATGCACTTACGAAGAATAGAGGTGTAGACTATTTTCTAAACAGGAGATTGCTTCGGAAGTCTGGATTCTCTTAAGGTTAACTTGCAGGTTCAGTTGGCAGTTAGGAAGTCAAATGCAATGTCGGTAGTCATTTCAAGAAGGCTAGAAAACAAGAGCAGAACTGTACTGCTGAGGCTGCATAGGGCTCTAGTCAGACTGTATTTGGAATATTGTGAGCAGTTTTGGGCCCTGTTTCAAAGGAAAGATGTGCTGGTGTTGGAGGGGTTCCAGAGGAGGTTTGCAGAAATGATCCTGGGGATGGAGGGTTTCTCAGATGAGGAGCGGTTGAGGTTTCTGGGCCCATACTTGAGTTTAGAAGGATGAGGGGGGACCTATTTGAATTTTAAAAAATACTGAAAGGCCTGAACAGAGTGAACATAGAGAAGATGTTTCCAATAGTAAAAGAGACAAGGATCTGATGATCGGGCCTCAGGATGAAGGGATGACTCTTTACAACTCAGAGGAGGAGGAATTTCTTCAGCCAGAGGGTGGTAACTCTGTGGAATTCATTGTCACAGAAGGCTGTGGAGACCAAGTCATTCAGTGTATTTAACACAAACATAGATAGGTACTTGATTAGTAAGGCGATCAAAAGTTGTGAGGAGAAGGCAAGAGAATGTGGTTGAGAAACATATCAGCCATGATCAATGATGGCGCAAACTCTGTGTGCTGAATGGGATAGAATGGTGACTCAGTGGTTAGCACTGTTGCCTCACAATGCCAGGGACCTGGGTTTAATTCCACCCTCAGGCAATTATCTGTGTGCAATTTGCACATTCTCCCCGTGTCTGTGTGGGTTTCCTCTGGGTGCTCCACTTTCTTACCACAGTCCAGAAATACGCAGGTTAGATGGATTGGCCAAGTTGAATTGTCAATAGTATTCGGGGATGTGTAGGTTATGTGGATTAGAGGAGAATGCAGGGTTACAGGGATAGCATGGGGGAAGTAAGTATGGGTGGGATGCTCTTTGGAGGTCACTGTGGACCCGATGGGCTGAATGGTCTGATTCCAAACTGTAGGGATTTTATAATTCTGTAAATGATTATTTAACTTATGGTCTTATTTTCTTAGAATTCCAGATCCATTAATTGAATTGAAAGTTCATCCACTTCCCTGGTGGCATTTGAACCCATGTTCTCAGTCCTTCAGGCTGGGTGAATGATTTAAGTTATCAGTTGACAAGATCACTATGCTGTGACCTTTCCCCTAATATTTGGGAGCCCAACATAAGTCAATGACTGAAATTTCTTCCAACACGTTTTAATAATTTGTTGTTATGCAACAACACCACTTATGCAATGAGGCTGATTTCCCTATTTCATTTTATATGTGGAGCCATACAATGCTCAGCAAATCAAATACCAGAATTGGCGACATTGGCTTGAAATAGCTCAGACTCCCATTGGAAATGTAGTGTCACAAATTCACTCTTCAGCAAACCCCAGGAGTCGAGGAGAAAATGCTAATCTCACAACACTGATGTAAAGAGAGCTTTTTTATACAGTTGATAAAGAGCACCTGAGCACATGGATAAATGTTAGAGGACCAAGTATGTCGGACTGATACAGGAAGGCACCTAATACAACATTCGCAACTGTCTTGATTTAATTGCTGACTCATTCACTTTACTCAAACATTTTAACATAGCCGATACAGAAGGATTGAAAACACAAGTGGCGAATAACTCTGAAACAATACAGAGAATGCTGGAGAAACTCAGCAAGTCTGGCAGCATCTGTGGGCAGAGAAACAGAGTTAATGTTTCAAGTCTGGTATGACTGTTCTTTGAATTTTCTGAAGAAGAGTCATATCAGACTTGACATGTTAACTCTGTTTTTCTGTCCACAGATGTTGCCAGACCTGCTGAGTTTCTCCAGCATTCTTTGCATTTGTTTCACATTTCTAGCATTTGCAGAATTTTGCATTTATGAAAGCTCTCTGAAATTACTTTCTGGCTTGTTAGGAATTATTTTCCAGCTTGTTTCTAGGAATTGAAGATTAATCACCGGAATGCAGTTGCGAGCAACATCCTGAAATTAAAGAAGTCATGGATGTATTAAGAATTGTACCCTTTTCCCATAGATTCCTTGGTTGCATAGATATTGAAAAGGAGTTAAATGGCTTTAGAAAGTCAGAAGTCATCCATTTGGCTGTTAACTTTCCAATTGGCTGGATGCCATGACTATGGATGTGATGGATAGACAATAGTGGGAAGTTGGGGTTGGATTGGTTGGAAGTAGGATGTCACATGATGACATCTCCAGGAATAATTTAATCAATGGTGGTCACTTTATATTCCAATGAATCTTGTTTAAAATATAGCAGCCATTGAATATTTGAATTTTCAATAAATGCAAGTGGGTTTTCCAATATGCAAATGTATGTTAAAGTCGAGGAGAGAGATGGAAAGGGTACCAAGGTGATTATGTGACTGTTGCTGGGTGGGGCTGGTGAGCAACATGTAATCAGTGCAATAAGTCTATATAGGACAGTGCTGTTGGACAGCTAGTCTTGTTTGTAATTTTTATTTAGGAAAACAGGATCAGCAGTAGGCCATTCAGCCTGTATTTAGTTAGGTAACCATCCACCTCAACACTGTTTTCCTGTGCAATCTTTATATCCCTTGATGTCATGAGACTCCAGAAATCTATCGATTTCTGTCTTGAACATGCTGAATAATTAATTTTTCACAGCCCTCTGGGACAAAGAATTCCAAAGATTCACCCACCCTCCAAGTTTTTCGACTCTCTTGTTGGATGTGGGCTTCACTGGCTAGCCAGCATTTTTATCGCACTTGAGAAGTTGGTGGTGAGCTGCCTTCCTGATCCACTGCAGTCCATGTGCTATAGACTGACACACATTAAACTTTATGGAGGGAATTTCAGGATTTTTACCCAGCAACACTGAAGGAACAGCGGTATATTTCCAATTCAGGGCAGTGAGTGACTTAATTGATTGATTTATTGTCACGTGTGCTGAACTACAGTGAAAAGCATTGTTTATGAGCAGTACAGGCAGTTCATAGTAAGCAAGGATGTACAGACCAGAGGTTGTAAGAAGACTCAGACAGAGGCACACAGGTTACATTGTACAGGATGTGTTCAAGGCAAGGTCAATATTAGCAAAATCAACATTATTTGAGATAGAGAGTGCATTCATCAGTCTAATGACAGCCAGGAAGAAGCTGTTCCTGAACCTGCTGGTGCAGGTGTTCAGGCTTCTGTATCTTCTGCCTGATGGAAGAGGTTGTGGGAGATCATTACTGGGGTGCGATGGGTCTCTAATGATGGTGGCAGCCATTCTGCAGCAGCAAGCCGTATAAATGGAGTCCGTGGATGGAAGGTTGACTTCTGTGATGGCCTGGACTGTGCACAACACCTTCTGTAATTTCTTACAGTCCTGGCCAGAACAATTACCATACCAGGCCATTACGCACCCGGACAGTATGTTTTCAATGGTCCATCTGTAGAAGTTGGTGAGGGACCTTATGGACATGCCAAATTTCCTGAGCCGCTGAAGAAGAAGAGGCATTGTTGTGCCTTCTTGACCATCACATCTACGTGGCAAGTCCAGGACAGGTTGTTGGTTATCATCACCTCGAGGAACTTGATGCTCTCCACCCTCTCGACCTCAGTTCGGTTGATGTAGATGGGGTGGGGGAGGGAGCGGGCGGTGTTCTCCTCCTCCCCTTTCTTTCTGAAGTCAATGATCAGTTCTTTACTTTTGCTGATGATGAGGGCGAAGTTGTTCTCATTGCACCATGTCACCAAACCCTCTATCTCCCTTCTGTATTTTGACTTGTCATTGTTAGATATCCATCCTACTATGGTGGTTTGTCTGTGAACTTGTAGATAGCGTTCATTCAAAATTTGGCAACACAGACGTAGGTGTACAGTGAGTACAGTAGGGGGCTGAGAACGCATCCTTAGGGGCTCCAGTGTTGAGTGTTATTGTGGAGGAGGTGCAGTTACCTATCCTCACTGATTGCAGTCTGTGGGTCTGAAAGCTAAGGATCCAGTTGCAGAGGGTGGAGCTGAAACCAAGGTCACAGAGCTTTGAGATCAGTTTGGAGGTGATAATGGTGTTGAAGGTGGAACTGTAGTCAATGAGCAGGAGTCTGATGTAGGTGTCTGTTGTCGAGATGTTCCAGGGATGAGTGCTGCGCTAGGGATATGAGATCCTTTGTGGACCTGTAACATCATTAAGCAAATTATAGGGGAACTTGCAGGTAATAGTGTTCCCATGTATACACTGCCCTAGTCCTTCTACATGCAAGTGGCCGTGGGTTTGCAAGGTTCTGACTAAGGATCTTGCATATTCATAGCATCATAGAATCCCTAGTGTGGAAATTGGGCAAATTACTGCACTGCATCTTGTGGATTGTGCACACCACTACTACTGTGTGTGAGTGGTGGAGGGAGTGCATGTTTGTGAATGTGGTGCCCATGAAGCAGGCTACTTTGACCTAGATGGTATTAAGCTTCTTGAGTGTTGTTGTAGCTGCATCCATCCAGGCAAGTGGGGAGTATTCCATCACACTCCTGACTTGTGCCTTGCAGATAGAGGTTAGGCTTTGGGGAGTCAGGAGATGAGTCACTTACTGCAGTATTCCCAGCTTTTGACCTGATCTTGTAGTCACTGTGTTTATGCAGCAAGTCCCATTGAGTTTCTGGTTAGTATAGCCCTCAGGATGTTGGTAGTGGGGGACTTCAGTGATGGTAACTGAAAGTAACTCCATAGAGATCAGTACCCTGTCATCAAGTCAGCCTTTATTTACACATGAACAGTCATCGACTTTAGTACTGCCTCGTACAGAGTCAGGTAGCAGAGTGTCAGTATCTCTGACACACACCACTTCTATATGTGAGCCAAGGATCCCTGATTAGATCAGATTAACAGCTCCAATCAGGGAACTAATATTCTATGAGATCCAGTTGGCTGGCCTCGTTACAGTCATTACAGTAGTGCCATTGAATGTCAAGGGATGGTGGTTAGATTGTCTCTTATTGGAGATGGTCATTGCCTGGCATTTATGTGGTGTAAATGGTAGCTGTCATTTTTCAGCTCAAGCCTGGATATCGTCTAGATGTTGTTGCATTTGGAAATGGATTGCTTCAGTGTATGAGGAGCCAAGAATGGTGCTGAACTTTGTGCAAACGTCCCCACTTGTGACCTAATGATGGAGGGAAGGTCTTGATGAAGTATCTGATGATGGCTGGGGCCTGGGACACGACCCTGAGGAATGCCTGCAGAGATGTCCTGGCACTGAGATGACTGACCTCCAACCACAACCATTTCGTAAGTGCCAGGTATGACTCCAACCAGCAGAGTTTGTTTCCGATACCCTTTGATTCCAGTTCAGCTAGGGCTCCTTGATGCCACACTCAGCCAAATGCGGCCTTGATGTCAAGAGCTGTCAATTTCACTTTGAATCAAGGCTGCAACAAGGTCGGGAGCTGAGTGGCCCTAGCTGAACCCAAACTAGGCATCATTGAGCAGATTATTGCTGAGCAGGTGTGCTTGATAGCACTACAGATGACACCTTCTATCATTTTACTGATGATTGAGAGAAGACTGGTGGGGGTAATTGGTTAGGTTGGATTTGTCCTGCTTTTCATGTACAGGAAATACCTGGGCAACTTTCCACATTGTCGGGTAAATGCTACTGTTGTAACTGTACTGGAAGAGCTTGGCTACAGGAGCTGCAAGTTTGGGGGCACAAGTCTTCAGCAGTGTTGCTGGAATGTTGTCAGGGCCCATAGCCTTTGTAGTATCCAGGCCATCCAACTGTTTCTTGATATCATGTGGAATAAATCAAATTGCTGAAGACTGGTATCTGTAATGATGGGGACCTCCTGGAGGAAGCCGAAATGGATCATCCTCTTGGCACTTCTGGCTGAAGATTACTGCAATTGCTTCTGCCTTATCTTTTGCACTGATGTGCTGGGGTCTTCCATCATTGAGGATGGGGATATTTGTGGAGGCATCTCCTCCAGTGAATTGTTCAATTATCCACCACCATTCACGATTGAATGTGGCAAAACTGAGGAGCTTCGATCTGATCAGCTGGTTGTGGGATCGCTTAGCTCTGTCTATCACTTGCTGATTATGCTATTTGGCATACAGATAGCCTGTTTGGTTGTTTTAACAGGCTGATACTTCATTTTTAGGTTTGCCTGGTACTGCTCCTGGCATGCTCCCCTGAACACTCCATTGAACCAGGGTTAATTCCCTAGCTTGATGGTAATGGTTGAGTGGGGGATATGCCGGGCCATGAGGTGACAGATTGTGCTGGAGTACAGTTCTGCTGCTGTTGATGGCCCACAGCACCTCATGGATGCCCAGTCTTGAGTTGCTAGATCTGTTCGAAGTCTGTCCCATTTAGCACAGTGATAGTGCCATACAACACAGTGGGGGTATTCTCAATGCAAAGATGGGAACTTTGTCTCCACAAGGACTGTGTGATGGTCACTCTTAGCGATACTGTCATGGACAGATACATCTGCAGCTGACAAATTGCTAAGGATGGGGTTGATTATGATTTTCCCATTTGTTGGTTCACTCACCAGCTGCCGCAGGTCCAGTCTCGCAGTATGTCCTTTAGGACTGACCAGCTCGATCAATAGTACTACTGTCGAACCACTCTTTCCGGTGAACGTTGAAATCCAGTACCCAGAGTGCATTTTGTGCACTTTTCAACATGGAGGAGCACTGATTCAACAGCCTAAGGAGGATGGTACATGGTAATCAGCAGGAACCTTCCTTGCTCAGGTTTAACCAAAGTCAGTGTTGAGGACTTGCAGGGCAACTCCTTCCCAACTGTATACCACTGTACCACCACCTCACTGGGTCTGTCCTGCCAGTGCGACAGGACATATCAAGAGATGGAGATGATGATGTCTGGGACATTTAAAGTTTGGCTGTGTCAGGCTGTTGCGTGACCTGTCTGCGAGTCTCCCAATTTTGGCAGAAGTCATGTTAGTAAGGAGGACTTTGCAGTGCCAATATAGCTGTTTTTGCTGTTACCATTTCTGGTGACTTAGTTGATACCAGGTGGTCTGTCCTGTTTCATTTCTTTGTTTGAGTGGCTTGCTAGGCCATTTCAGAAGGCCAGAGAGTCAACCACATTGCAGTAGGCCAGACTAAGTAAGGATGGCAGATCTCCTTCCCTAAAGGGCATTTGTGAGCCAGACAGGTTTTTTTTCTGACAATCAGCTCTGGTTTCATGGTCATCATTAGATTTTTATTTCTAGATATTTTATTCAATTCAAATTCCACCATCTGCATTGGCAGGATTTGAACCTGGGTTCCCCAGAACGTTAGCTGAATTTCGTGGATTAATAGTGTACTGATAAAATCATAAGGCCATCGCCTTCCCATGTAGAAATTCCTCCTCATCCCAGTGCTAAAGGGCAAATTCTATATTCTAAGCATATGTCCCTGATTATAGAACCGCCAACCAGGGGAAGCATCGTATCTATGTCCATCCTATCATACCTTGTGAGAACTTTGTTACTTTCACTGAGATCACCTCTCATTCTTCAACAGTCTAGAAAGTACAGGCCAATTTCCACTTACTCTAATGGCAAGTATTAGACAAGGAGACCAAAACTATACACATCATTCAAGGTGTTGTCGCACCAAGACTCCATGCAATTGCAGTAAAACATCTTTACTTCCATACTCAAATTGTCTTGCAATGAAGATCAACGTATCATATCACTTGCCTTCTTTATTGTTACACCTGCATGTTAATGTTTGATGACACCCAGGTCCCTTTGGACACCAACATTTCCCAATCTTTACCATTTAAAACATATTCTGTTTTTCTTTTTTATGGAAGTTTTCACACTTATTCACATTATATTCCATCTTCCATATCTTCATATGTAAATTTAAACCAAATTTAATCCCACCGTAGATTTTTAACCCTGATAAGTAAGAGGTGATGTACCTTAGAAGAATTAACAAAACAAGTTAGTACTCCATGAATGGTAAGACACAAGGAAGCTGAGAGGAACGGAGGGATCTTGAGGTGTTTATCCACAAATCCTGAAAGATGGCAGGTTAGATTAACAGGTTAGTTAAGACAGCATACGAAACACTTCCCTTCATCAGTCATAACGTCGATTATAAGAGCCAGAACCATTATGTCAGATCTATACAGGAGTTTTGTCAGACTACAGCTGGAGGACTGTGTGCAGTTCTGGTCACTTATTGGAAGGATGTGATAGCACTGGAGGAAGTGCAGAGGAGATTCACCAGGATATTGCCTGGAATGGAGCATTTCAGATATGAAAAGATGATGGATAAACTTGTGTTGTTTTCTTTAGAGCAGAGAATGCTGAAGAGGCACTGATTAACATATATAAGATTATGAGGGGCTGGACAGAATAGACAGAAAGCAGCTGTTCCCTTTGTGGAATGGTCAATAAAAAGGGGGCATAATTTTTAGGTGAAAGGCAGGAAGTTTAGAGGTAATGGAAGAAAGATTTTTCACCCAAAGGGTGGTGGTGGTCTGGAATGCACTGCCTGGGAGGGTAGTTGAGGCAGAAAATCTCATGGCCTTTAAAAGTTACTTGCTTAAGCACTTGATTTGTCACGACAAGTGCTGGAAAGTGCGACCAGTATAGATATAATTTAGTTTTTTTTGTCAGTGCTGACTCAATGAGCCAAAGAGCCTCTTCTGTACTAAATGATGCAATGATGAATCTGTATGCTGTGGGAACAGCTGTAACTATTTTGTTTGGTAGTTCTTACAGATGATTGTTTCTATCATTTATTTTTACAGACTTGATTCATTTGATGGGTTGCTTCCATTTGACTTTAAAACACAAGCAGAAAAGTCTGTCTCTAAATATCTAGGTGAGTAAAGAATACTGAAATGAATATGAATGTGGGAAATCTGAAATAACGTCCTAGTCTCATGTGAATTTTACTGATAGAAAAGTGCCCTTGCACTCCAAATTTAATTGCAGGTGTGAAACTGGCAATATAACACCACTTATTGCTGTTGTAAGAAAAGGTAATGTGGATCTTTGCAATCAGCGGGGACTTTAGTTGCCTGACCAGAGGTTCTGGGTTATTCATTTTGCTTTTCTCTCTCTACATAGGTTTGATATGAATTGACCAGCTGCGTTTCTTTCAAAGGAGCGTATTCATTTTGAAGGATAATTGGTTTGATAAATTATTAGAGATTACATGCTGTGACAGGAATAAGAAAAAATGCTTCTAATTTGAGCAAACTACTGTGTGATTTTCAAGTACTAATGGTGGTGACCATGTTAATTCTGCTGTGTGCCACCTTTAACTATAGAAAGTGTCATAATGCTGTCCAGCTGTTCTCCCAGAAATTTGCTTTTCTTAATTGCAATTCTGAAACTGTCAATTTAAGAGGATTATTTTAGACTGTTCTCTCTCGTTAATCTCAGCAATTATGCTTTTCACTTAGGCTGCAGAGATGTCAAAAGTAGACTATGAACTTTGAAAAGCTAAATCACTGAACATAATGCAACAATTTTTTTGTTGGGAAAGAAAAACTTTGAAAATAGAAATGAGGTGTTGCAAGTACAAGTGGATCTGATTATTAGCGTCTGTTGAAAAAAGAACAAGCTAATACCAGATATAAACTGTCTGTTAAATGTGGACACAGTGTCCAAACTGACAACTGAAAAATGTTCAAAACAGCAACCTGTCTTGTTTGGTTACAAATACCGATTGTGCTGTGCATTTCCAACAGATGTTTGTCTTTGTTTTCTATTTTTACTTGAAACTTTAACTGTTTTGTTATCTCACAACAAAATGGCTTTACACTGAGATTTTTAAGCAACTCTTACGTACATAGGCAGGGAACGATTGTTATGATTCCAGCTCATATTATTACCGGACAAGTCAGATCCCAGACAGAAACTTGTTGTGATAGATCATGTTTTGATTTGTTTTGGTTTTAACAAAGTGGTTTCTTGCTGAAGCAAAAACATGCAATGCTGCAGATTTTGCTTTGATGATAAACAAATGTTGATTAAAAGAAAAGAAAATGAAAACAAAAGAAATGAAGGGCAGCTTTTATATAGTATCTAAAGCACACTCCTGGAACAGTACCCAAAACATGACTCGTAGTTTTACCAGAGTCCTTGTATCTAATTTTTAGACTGGACCTGCAGATAGCTCCTTCCTGGAGCTATCATACATCTGAGCTTAAACATACTCATCTTTAAGGAACCTTTTTAACACTGCTGGTCTGGAACTAACAGTAATGCTTCACTCTAAGTTAACCTAGTTCACTATAATCCTTCCCTTCTCAGAAACTAGGGTTTTTTACAGCTATTCTATGCCAAAGGCTTCATAGGACTGTCTCAAAATGCAAAGTAAAACTGAAACCAAAGGTCTGTCTCTTTAAGCTATGGGAATTTTCCTTGATCTTAAATACATGGAGGAAAAGTGGGGTGGGGGGGGGGGGGAGGGGCGGGGGGTGAGGGGCGCGGTGATGGTATTATCGCTACATTATTAATCCAGAACCCCAGGTAATGTTCTTTGAACCCGGGTTCGAAACCCAATATGGCTGATAGCGGAATTTGAATTCAAAGAAGAAGAGACTGGAATTAGAAGTCGAATGATGACCATGAAAACATTGTTGATTGTCAGAAAACCCATCTGGTTCACTCATGTCCTTTAGGGAAGCACAACTGTCTATATGTGACTACAGACCCATAGCAATGTGGTTGACTCTTAACTACCCTCTGGCTTATTAGGGATGGGCAATAAATGTTAGACTTAGCAGTGATTGCAACATCCTGTGAATGAATTAAAAAAATATTAATTTCCCAAAATTTTCAACAAACCTTAAGGCTCCATTATCTACCTTGCTTGGTCTCTTAACAATCTAAGATAAACAAAAATCCATCAGTGATGTGCACAAACCCATTCACTCTAAAGCCAGGCCTCAAAAACTGTTTTAAGCTAAATCACCACAGCTACAGAAATACTTAAAAGTTAATTATTAACTTCAGACACACAGAAAATGTTCAAGTTACTAACTCAATCTAGAAACCTAAACTTGTTATAAATTAAATTAAACGTATACACAAATATACATATATCTCAATCCCACAATTTCCATCACGATAGTTTGCTGCTACAAACCAGTATTGAAGCAGATTTATAAATTATTTTAAATGATATTAGATGCTCACAAAACAGAACTTTTCACTGTACTTAGGTACATGTGACAACAATAAATCAAATCAAAACCAAATCTTTCATGGGTATTATGAAGGTGCTATCTGATTTGGTGTGTTGGCACTGCCAAATAGAATAAATTGGAATGTAAGTGGAGAGAAGCAGCGTGGGACAGCGGTAGAAGGCTCTATATGCAAACGAAACTATATAGGAGGAGCTTAATTCCTTGACATCTAATCGTGCTTACTGCAGATACCCAATGTTGACATTGTGTATTCATTGTGGGGAAACATTCCATTCCACAACATTAATTTGATACCAAGGAACAACTGGCATTTATATAGCACCTTTTAATATAGGAAACATTTCAAGACTTTTCACAGAAGCATTATCAAACAAAATCTGATACCGAACCAGATAAGGTGATTTTAGGACAGGTGACCAAAATATTGCTCAAAGAGACAAGATTTGAAGAGTATCTTAAAGAAGGAATGAAGGTAGAATGGGAGAATTTGAGTGTCATGGGATCTCGAGCAGCAGTGGTGACGGTGATGGAGGGAATTGAGAGCGAGGGAGCTGAGACGTTCTTTGGGACCTCTACTGGCAGGTAGTGATGGAGAGCAAGAGAAGCTGGAGCAGTTGAATAGACTCTTGCTGGAAAAGAAAGTGTGTCTTTAGAAAGAAGGCTGATGAGAAGGAAGACGAGTCAGTCAAAGGAATTCCACAACCCAATGTAACCCACATGGTCATTTCATGTACATAGTGTAAGTAATTCATTGTTTATTCTTAATTTCCCTTCCTCTTTGTAATGATCTGGTGCCAGTGAGTTAACAAATCCCTGCTTCATGATCTTTGAACTGTCCATGTGTGTTCAAACCTTTTGTTATATTTCTGGCCACCATTGTTGTCAGATACAGAGCCCCATCCAATACAGGGCCTTCTCTACTAACCTGATGTTAAACTAGTGAAACCTCCCACAGAAAGCCAGATGGGGGCAAGGTTCCTTCAGGGGGAGGCTCAGCCTTATGTGAAGTGATAGGGACTTGCTCAAAATGAGCATGAAATTTGTCAATAGAGAAGCACTGTGCCTTATTGACACAGGAGCGATGGTGTCTACTGTCACCATTTCATCAGTGAGCATTCCATTGAGGGGTGTGAGCTAATTGATGTCTCCTCCCTCATTGGGTCTCTGCTTTGTAGGGGTTGGCTATATTGAGCTCTTCATTCTGTTGTCAATCATAACTTTTCACAGCCTGTGGTTTCTGGTATGTTTGTGATCCAACCGATACTTTAATGGCAAGAAAAAAGTTGAGAATACCTGTGGTGTTTAGGTTGAACATGTTAACAGATATTCAGACCTCCTTACAAAATGTGTCCTACCATAAGCAGCATATTATGAGGTTGGCAGAGGTTAGTAGCCTTTGACCTTACTCCCTGTGATCAAGGAGTATCAGGCTGCATGGGTCTGCAGAACTGTTTGAGTCGCTGAGAATTGGGCTGTTCTTTTACCTGCCCATACCATCCCTGTTCTTGAAGGCTCATTCCAGCTGCCTCCAACTGGTCAACGTCAGGCCTTGCTAGAAAATTACGTATTGCATGTAGCAGGTTTCTTACTTAGTTTCAGTCTGGGAGCTGCCCTCATCACTGTGAGAGAAAAGGGGAGGGTACCTATGCTGATCGTGCAATTTCAGTAACATAGAATTTTGCCTCCAGCCAGCAACACCAATAAATATCCTTAAGCCTTCTACTGTTGTAGATAGTGAATAAACCAGAAGAGACATCTTAAACCTCATTTCAAAGATGGAAATTGGCAAGTTGGAGACCCAGAGGAGACAGGTTGTTTCTACTCACTGAGTGCGGGGCAACTTTTCAGTAAGGTGACAATGGCATCGGCTATTATGACCTGGTAAGTCAGAGGATTGTGAGTAAAGATGGCTATCTAGTAAAGATTCTTTACCATTGGATCCCATCCCATTGGTGTGAGGAAGTCCAGGACCAATTGCAGAAGTTTCAATCATTTAGATTCTGTAATGCCCATGCCATCTTTATCTGTGTGATAGATAAAACTTTTGATAACCTTAGTTTCCAGTCCCTGTTGGTGTATCTGAATGAAATACTCTTCTTTGGTTCAACATTCAAGAAGACACTTGCAAGACCAGACACTATCTTATCTATTGTTACAGTTTAACTTTGAAAGTCAAATGCCAAATTTTCCAGCCAAAAATACAGGACATTGGGCAGTTTGTTACCAAGGGGGGCATTACTTGCGATGATAAGAAAATCCAAGCGGTAGAAAGGTGGCCCTGGCCTAAGACAGGGAGGAAACTGTGTGGGTACCTTGGTCTGGTGGCATACTATAAGAGGTTTGTGTAAGGCTCTGCACAGTTGGCCGCCCCACTCCATTATTTGCTGAGTAGATCAGACACTGCATGAGTGGTTAAGAAAGGGTGTTCGAAGTTTGATACTTCACAGGCCCTCACGTGGACTCCAGTATTTGAACACTCTATTTCAACCTCAAGCAGAAGTTTGTTACATCATCTGATCTCAGCCATGCAGATTTCCACCTCCTTTTCAGAGTAGGAACTGGCATCAGTTTCATTGGCCTAGGGGCAGTGCTTCCTGTGGACTACCTCCTAGACCTCACCACATCTTCTGATGGGAATGGCTGTGTCAATGAACAAAATGTGGATATTCCTCCAAAATCTGAACATCAGGGATGAAAACAAGATGCAGAAAGTGTTGGACCCTGAACTCCACAGAATCAGCAAGTGGCTGGACATGGGTGGCCATGCTTATGCTGTTGAATCAGGAGCTTGGCAGGAGGAAGGGAATAAATGGTTTACCAAGGGAAGTTTCTTGATTCCAGGAGTCTGATGGATGATGTGGAGGTGAGTAGCTTCCCCAGTGGTGTTGCAGAAACTGAAATGTAAGTGGGTGGTGCCTCAAGTGGAGTTAGATAGTGATGAGGAATCCTGGACTAACTTGTGTTGTGAATCCAGGGGTCATTCATTGTGGGAAGGCCTAATCCTGCCTTGGAACTGGCATAGAGAGGATCTGCTGGGAGGCAGGAACTGAAGCAATAAATTCCACCAATCATACAACATGTGGAGGTCTGATTACTCTCAACATGGATGATCCTCCACAAAGCCTGGATCCTTTGGAAAGTAGTGATGCAGATAAAAAACTGAGAAGGTCTTCCCTAGTAAATGCTCAATCTCACCCTAACCCTTACCATTCGCCCAGATCAATGGTCATGAAGAGAATGCTTATATTAATGTGGAGTCAAGTATATTAACCATCACAGCTCATTGAACCTGCTCATCACACAACTGCTTAGCATACAGTCATTGTGAGCTATGTGCAGTTGCTGGCACAGCAAGCCTCAAGTAGGGAAGTATGTAACAGGACCTCCAGCAGCAAGTGATGATGATGATGGAGGCATTGAACAAAGGAATTGAGCAGTTCTCCGGGGCTTCTACGAGCAAATGGGCCAGCTAGAGCAGTTGAATAGACTTTGCTGGAATTGGGGAGAGAGGTCAGACAAAAGAATTCCTTATCCCAATGCAATCGACACAATCATTCCATGTATACAGTGTAACTAGTTCCTAGTTTACCCTTAATTCCTCTTCCTAGTGCCAGTGGAATAAATAATCCCTGTTTAATAATCTTTGGGGATCATCCATGTATTTAAATCTCTTGTTACATTTGGAAAAGAATTCCAGGCCTCTAGAGGCTATACAGCTGAATGCATAGTGGCCAATGTTGCAGTAATAAACATTGGGAACATATAGGGTAGTGATGTGCAGGCAACTTGGAGGGTTCTGGGGTTGATGGATTTGACAACAACGATGTACATTTCAATATTGGAAGCATTGCCAGTTGGAAACCAGTGTAGGTCAGCAAGCAAGGAGTGATGGACAAATGGGACTTGGTCAAGCGAGGATACAAACAGTAGAATTTTGGATGAGCTCAAATTTACAAAGGGTAGAAGATAGGAGATTGTTCAGGAGAATCTTGGAACAGCGAACTCCTGATATAAAAAAACGTCAATTAAATTTTCAGTAGCAAGTGAGCTAAGCTGTCTTTTAATCCTGCTAAGAACAAGAAAAACCCAAGTAATTTTTTAAAAATTCAAATGTAAAGAAGTTGGAATGCACCTTGGATTTCTCTATTAGTGTGTTTTATTAATTTGCTATATACTTAATACAAAACCAGTTTTAACGTTTATTTGCATTTTGTTCTGATTCTCCCAGTGAATCTGCTGTCTATGGAACTTACATATTTTACCAGTGGAATCCTGTTTGCAATAATAGTCAAGAAGCGGGTGTGGGACTATTCAATCACAGTTACACTCGTCCACGTCATACTGAGCTCTGCAGGTGAGTGCTCAATAACTCTGGACAAACCAGGCTTTCTGATAAAACCTATGACGAAATAATTGCTTGATGGTACAGAACTTGGATCATTGCTAAAAGGAGAGTTACACCCTTCAGAAGTAGGACATAAGAAACAGACTGGAGCACAGGGATGTCATTTTTTTATACAGTCTGAGAAGAAGATGCTAATTGTTTTGGCAATCATTGGCATGGTGATGCAGTAAGACCAGTTAGCTATCAATCTTAGTTCTTAGACCAGACATGTACATTCTGATTGGTCAGAGTGTTGCTGTGAGAATGCAGCTGAGGTTGACAGTCTCCAAGGCCTGTCTGTTTCCATGAAAAAGTGTAATGTACGATTTCCTTTGTCCAAATAAAACAGGGTCCTTTGTTAATCAAATCGTCACTCACTGTATACCTCAAAAAATCATGAAAGGGCCTGTGTTCACCACTTTGGCCCTGAACAGTACCCAGTCTACCTGAGATTATACTGAAAAGGGAAGATGTCTGAAAAATTAGAACAGGTGAAGCTAGCTGACTTGTGTTATTACCGTAGTGTAAACCCGAGTGGTTTTTCTCCACTAACAGGATGAAGCCAGATGGATGTTTTACTTACCGTATGTCAGGTAATGTGATATTAGTTTCAGTGCATTGTGCTGCATGTAGACTTTATGTTCCAATGACCTGTGGACTGTATCAAATGACATTCCATTGACCATTCGCGTAGGCAACCTGCTGATTTGCCTCAACCATTTTCATGGCAACATCCTGCCAATCAGAGTCTACCTATCTTGTCTGAAAACTATGATTGCTGGCTAACTTTTTGTGCTGCATTTCTGTCAACAATGGCCCATCCAATCAGTACCTTCTTTTCATACTGTATAAATTGGTGTCCTTTTATTCCTTCTCTTTTTTGTGTCCTAGTCCTGGTGAGTGCTAGAATAACACGGTCTGTTACCACAAACAACCCATTGTCAGCTACGAATGGTCCCCATTTGCAGCTATTGATTCTCGTAGACCAACCTCTAACCATTCCTTTGTTTGCCTAGTCACTATTTTCTCTCTCTTGGGGCTTTATTTTCAATTATTGTTTCCTACTCCCCATCCCCCTATATATATGTAAACCTCTTCTGAATTAAAATCAGTTCTGAAAAAGGGTCATTGGACTGAAATGTTAACTCTGCTTTCTCTTCACAGACCTGTTGAGTTTCTCCAGCAATCTCTTTTTGTTACCCATTGTTTTATGTCTGTCTTTGTTTGTCTGTACATGTTTGTAGAGTGAGTTTTATAATGAGGTTAGAGTTTTAACTAGTACAGTTATATGTTAATGGTTTCTGATTATTTGCTTTTTTGCTAGAATCTGTTTATTTGTAATTACTTGTAATTTGAGTGCAGAAACACGGTCCATTGTCTGTCAAACTGGGTCTTTTAGATAAATTTGAGCAATTTTGAGTATTTTTATAAAATCTTTAACTTTTGTGATGGCACCAGGAATAACAGAGGTTGATTTCCAGCACAGTACCCCAGTGAGGCGTAATACTTTTCTTAAGCATAGCAGATTTTCTGCTGAACTGTTCTCTGGTCAGCTGAGCGGGAGCTAATCACAACATTGTTGTCAAGCAGTCTTTCTTTAGTCTAGAATCTATCAATTCTGTGGTGCCTACTTTTTGCTCTCACTGTTCCCAGAAAATGCAATATTTTATACAACTCACAATGTACTCCATGATTTTTAAAACTGCAGCCATCTCTTTGCACAGTCTCCTTGGTTTAAAGCAGTATTCTTTTAGTCCACAGTCCAAAAACAAAAGAAATAAAGAGGTGTGGACATTACATACTCCTCTGAAGTGCATGTGTTACAACATTAAAAGAGCTACAAAAATAAATGTTGCTGTGTAGGTTGTAGAGACAGCAAGGGCGGAGGCCATGGGGGGTTTTTGAAAACAGTAACAAGAATGTTAAAACTGAGGCTTGATTGTGTGTTATTGTGTGTTCTGTTGTGTTGGGGTATGGAGGCAGGGTTGATTAGCTCAGTTGGCTGGATGGCATGTTTGTGCAGAGTAATGCCAACTGCATGAGTTCAATTCCCATACTGGCTGAGGTTACCAGTAAGGACTCTCCTTTTCAACCTTTTCCCCCATCTGGGATATGGTCACCTCTGGTTAAACCAGCACCAGTCATCTCTGTCTGAGAGAGCAGTCCTATGGTCTGGTAAGACTATGATGAATTTATCTCTACTCTGTTGGGCTACACGTTACTGTGCCAACACAGTCTTCATTGAGAACTACTTGGGATTTAATGATATTTTCTGATCTTATTTCCAATAAAATCCTCTTTACAATAAAAGCTCAGCACTATTGAACCAATGCTTAACCTTAAATATCAGTAAATAATTCTAGGCCAACATACATTAGTAATTTTGCCAATTTTCCATGTTGTCAAGGTCTGATGTCCTTTTGGACCTGTCTCCCATCTTGGTAACTCCCACCTTTTCAGTAACTCCTGGGTTTTATTTCAATTGCAGTGATGGCTGAGTTTCCATTAGCGTGGCAGTGGTGGTTGGCTTTGGGTAAGTCTGAGCAACCTTTTCTTAAGAATTTTACAAACCTGTGATGGGCTATTTAGCCAAATCTCCAACCTATAAGCAGTGAATCAGCTTCTGGGGCTGAATGAATTTTCCTTTATAGTTCTAAAGCGATGAAGTGCACATTTACATAAATTGATCTGTCAATGTTAAAACTGAAAGAAGCACAAAATATGAAGGGAGCAGCAACAGCAACAACTTGCATTTATTTAGAGCCCGTAACAAAGAAAAATGTCCCAAATCAGGTCCCAAGAGTGAAATTTGACACCGAACCAAATGAAGAGCAATGAATTTAAGTCTTAAGCAGTAAAGCATTCTTTTGTGGGTTTAAAGAATTCCAGGTTTGCCTGGGTGTTTTGCCAGGCTCTGTCAAGTCATAACAAAATGTAAATCTGGAAGAGGGAATTGTGGGGGGGCGGGGAGGGTACGTTTGGCTCATTGAGCCACTCCAAGGGGATGACAAAGTGCCACTTTCCATGGGATTTCCTTGATTGTGATTAAATCATTAGGGAAGGCCCAGTTTGAATTATTTTTGAAGAGAATCAGCTAGAGCAGTTGTATTAACTTTGCTAGTACTCTGCTGCAGATTTCCAGAGATCAGGAACCTCGCCAGCTATCACTTACAAATGATGGTTTCACAGTCTGTTCTGAGTGGTTATGGTTTAGTATCTACCTCCTTCCCATATTGTATTGGGCATGATACTGTTTTGTGTTATAGATTCATTGTGGTCATGCAGCACGGAAACAGACCCTTTGGTCCAACCAGTCCACGCTGACCATAATCCCAAACTAAACTAGTCCCACCTGCCTTCGCTTGGTGCAATTCCTTCCAAACATTTCTTATTCATGTACTTATCCAAATGTCTTTTAAACATTGTAACTGTAGCCACATCCACCACTTCCTCTGGAAGTTCATTCCACACACACTCTGTGCAAAAAAGTTGCCCCTCATGTCTTTATTAAATCTTTCTCCTCTCACCTTAAAAATATACCCCAGAGTCTTGAAATTTCCTCTAGGAAAGAAAATACCCTAGGAAAAAGCCATATGCCATTCACATTATCTATACCCCTCATGATTTTATAAAACTCTATAAGGTAACCCCTCGACCTCCTACACTCCAGTGAAAAAAGTCCCAGCCTATCTAACCTCTCCTTACAACTCAAACCCTTCATTCCCTGCAAATCTTTTCTGAACTGTCTCCAGCTTAATAATATCTTTCCTATAACAGGGTGACCAGAACTGGATGCATTATTCCAGAAGAGGCCTTGCCAAAATTCTGGACAACCTCAACATGACGTCCCAACTCCTATAGGTCTGAGCAATGAAGGCAGGTGTGCTAAATGCCTTCTTAACCACCCATCCACATGTGACGTAAACTTCAAAGAATTATCAACCTGAACTCCTAGGTCTCTCTGTGCTTTAACAACACCCAAGGCCCTACTTTTAATTATTTAAGTCTTGCCCTTGTTTGTTTTACCAAAATGCAATACCTTGCATTTATCTAAATTAAACTCCATTTGCCAGATTTTGGTGTCATCCTACAAAATAACACAGCCTATCACATACTTCCTTTACAATTAGTTCTGAGGTATGTTATTGAAGCATACTAAACTCATTATGCACTATCACTATTTGTGAATTAGAAATATCATATTTGGAACAGTGACAAGAATAAGCACTTTAATGATATTTTGCTCTTTCTGCAGGTGGTGGCTTGTTGATGATGATCTGTAATGGCCAGCTAGTGGCACACTTTGTTTGCCAAAACAATCCTGCTTACTCTTCGAGTAATCTTTGAGAGAAAATGATCAAACGTAGCCACAAAAATCAAATGTTCAGGATAATTTCCCTGGCTGCATGACCTGCTAACAAGCCTGCAGTGATTTTAGTGGGACGAGAAAACAAATCCTCCATCAGAAATATTTAGCGTTAAACGTTTGAAAATCACAGCTTGTATTTTAAATGTCAGACGTTTTACCAGAAAAGGTCTGTTTTTCACACAAAAGCCAAGTGGATCATGGGCAGCTTAAAAGAAAGACTACTATGATTTTAAAACCAGATCTTTCTCGATTTCTCCAATATTCTTTGAATTTTGATCATTGTTGCTTTGCAAAGGTAGTTCCATTGAAGGCACCAAGCAAGGAGGTAATTTTAATTTTGTCCAATTCTGTGTGCAACACATCTGGTTGGAAAATGTGGTATCTAACCTGCATGGTAAAGCATCAGAATTAGTGCAGCAGTACTATGTCAGGAAGTAATTGGGACCTCTTAAAAACATGTCTGATCAGGTCTTTATATGAGTAATCCAACTGTACAGTATTAAAATGAAAACCAAAAGAGAATATAGTGTGTTAGGCTTAAAGAACCATTTGAGAATTAAAGGATCTCTTTAAAGATAACTCAGAAGCAAATTTTCTTTATGCTGAAAAAAAAGTTCATGCATTGTAAATAATAAATAGGTTTAAAATAGAATCTAAGAACTCCCAAAAATATTAATTCACAGTATTCATATAAAATATGAAAACTAAAATCTGTTATTTTCCCACTAGGTAAAGAAATTGTATGCTCTCAAAAGGTTAAAATGTTTAATATTTACCTTTGATGGGGGACATGACTATGCTTTTCAGGATTTTTAACCATTTTTATTGCATTTGTTAAATCATTCAATGATCAATGTCTTCCTTTACTTTTAAAGTGTTAATAGGTAATATATGGATTTCTAACAAATTCAGTTTTAACATTAAAAAAAAGTCCTTCAAGTTGAAAATTTTTTACCATATTCTGGATTTAATGCAATTGATTTCTTTACTGTCATGGATCGACAACTCTACCTTGTCTACTGAGTTTTTTTTAATGTCTTCAACATTATAAAATAAATTATTTTTGATCAATTTGTTTGGACAAACTATATGCCCAAGGCAGGTGGAACTCAAATCCTGACCTCCTGGCTCAGAGCTGGAGATGCTATTACTGTCACAGACACGGGAAACTGTTCAGTTGTTAGTTTGAGTTTAGCTTTGCAAAGTTGGCAAGCTGCCAGCTTTTATAGTATTTTGGTAGTTCTTGCTTTGGCATTCTGACACAGTATATTGTAGAATTCACCAAGTTTTAGCTATCTTTATCGATATTACATGTGGGCTGATTATCTTACCCTTTATCTGTCCTGAAGAGAATTTTTTGTTGTTGTTGGATTATCATTTAAATATTGATGGTGGGGGAGTGGTGTTGGTCAATGGTTGCTAACTAAACAATATTTTCTTTTACTATTGACATCAAATTTATACAATGTCTTGTGCAGATATACGGGAACTCAAGACTGGAAAAACTGGATGCTTATTCACTGTTGAATTTGAGAGTCACCTGGATGTATTAATGTTCAATAAAAGGCATCTTGAATTTCCATTACACTTTTCTTTTAAATGTGAGTCTGCAAGACTAAAATATAAATAAACTAAAGAAGTAAAAATGGAACATGTAAAAATGTATGTCAGCTCAATCCATATCTGAAAGTTAAAGGTTTTATAAGTGTTCTTCTAAATTTATTAATTTTATTTTTCATGATTTTCAGAACATACTAGTGTATTTCAAACTACGTCAAAGGTGATTGAAAAATTAAGTCTACTCAGTTTTCTATTGTAGCCACATCCCACTATTTTTGGACTCATTTTTATTTGGATTATGAAACCATACCTTATATTTTTATGAACCACGTTTGGAAATAATATGAAAATTAGACCCTCTTTAGTTCTAATAGGAAGAATATTTCTGTCATATATCCAATTGACATAGAAAACATGGCATATTGAAAAAACTATAAAATAAGGACAAAATATGAGTTGTGAATTTAGGCTCCTGGTACAGGAAACTGTTCAGTTGATAGTTCTAGTTTGGTTTTGCAGTGTTAGTAAGCCAGCTTTTATTGGATTTTGGTCGTTCTCGATTGGCACTCAGACAGGGTAGATGTAGAATTCACCAAGTTTTAGCTATCTTTAAAATGACCAATGCAACAATCTGCTTCCATAGCTAAGTCCAGACTTTCTGTGAACTGAAAGGAAACATTCTTGAACTAAAAAAAAACTATCTTTATTGATTCTATCATACACCGCTGATTTCTTTCGACAAATTAAATGCTGAGAGAATATATGTTTTAGATTATAGGCAAGAAAGAAAAGTTTTATTTTAAAAATAAAGTCAAATAACACTGTGTAAAAATCACACTGGGTTCATTTAACTTACAAAACCTGTGACAAAACAATAAATGTTTCAAAGATCTTGGAAAAATACTTAATTTGGACAAATTATGGTAAGATAAAGTCTAAATGTAAAACTGGATATCTGAGTTTTTCAGTAACACCAGATTACAGTTAACAAAGAAATTGAAATCTATTAAAGGAGCTAGAACACCAACTTTTGTTATGTACTTCTTGATGCTTTAAAGATCAAGGTGCGACAGACAAAAATTGAGAGTTACTTGAGGCTGAATAGATGTAAAATATGTTTTACAATGATGGACCTGTCATCAAATTAGTTCCATAGCTACCAGGGAGTTTCTTTGTGTGCCAATCTTTAAACATTCTGTTATCTTCAGGATGAGTTAAAGCAGGATTGTAAGCAGGAGACACCACAAGTACAGATGATCAGTTAATGGTTTGTTCTATTTTCCCTTTCAAACAGTAGCTAAGCTCTCACATGTCTAAGATGACAATACTAAATTTATTACAAGGTTGTCTATGTGCAAACCATTCAAAATATGGCAAAGATATCTTCCTTGAAGATACCAACACATCACACAAATATGCATTTAGGCAAAAACAAACCCCTTTCTGCACCAGCTAGAGAAACTATTTCAGGATTTGTCCTTCTTAACCCACTAAAAGCAACAGCAACGGAAGGCAATGGCTTAGTGGTATAATCACTAGACTATTAATCCAGAGACTGAGTTAATGTTCTGGGCTCCTACATTTGAATCTCACCATGGCAGATGGTAGAATTTGTATTCAATAAATTATCTGGAATTAAGAGTCCGATAATGGCCATGAAATCATTGTCGGTTGTCAGAAAAATCCATCTGGTTCACTGATGTCCTTCAGGAAAGGAAACTCCTTACCTGGTCTGTGATTCTAGACTCACAGCAATATCGTTGACATTTGGATATAGATGATCCCCAAAATAGAGGGATGTGAGTAAGGATTGAACAGGATTGGGCTTTTCTCATTGGAATTAAGAAGAATGAGGGTGATCTCATTGAAATGTTAAGTATGTGGGTACAATTACAACGTTTAAACGACATTTGAATAAATACACGAATAGGAAATGTTTGGAGGGATATGGGTTGGGAGCAGGCAGGTGGGAATGGTTTAGTTTGGGATTATGTTTGGCATGGATTGGTTGGACCGAAGGGTCTGTTTCCTTGCTGTATGATTCCATGATTCTCTGCTCAGTTAATGTTGGATGTCAAGTGTATCCTTGCAAACTCGTTTGTATTTTCTGAGCAATCTCACTACATCTCTGTTTTGATCTTTCTCCAAATATGAAAATACAGTGTCTAAATTGTCAAATACTTCTGCATTTGTGAATCTAAAGTAGTGAGTTCATTTTGGGAATGATTCAACTCTCTTTGGCACTTATCCTTCTTTCTTCTATCTTCCTGTAGTAGACTCAATACTTGACACACCTGTACATTGTCATCATCTTCTCTATGATAGTACTATTTTAACATTGTCACATGACATTATCAATTCTCCTTTCTAGGATTATCAATTAAATATAGTAATTCACTAACCCCTTTAACTACTTTGTAAGGACTAGTGAACTTTGCTTTCAGTGGCTCATCTACTTCTTGATGTCATCAAGATGGCGGTGGAGTAGGGTTCCTGCACCGGGGCTCGTCTGCTCTGATCTCTTTTCTTCCCATTTTTTTCTTGTTTTTTTTTTCTTTATAATTACTTCTCTTTATTGGTCATGGTAAGGAATCCCAGTGCAACTCAAGTGGGCCTGGCGTGGACCCAGCAGCAGTGGCGAGCAAGCTCCTACTTACTTTTCCAGGGTGAGCACAGGACTTGGGATCAGAATCCGTGGCTGCTACATTGACAGAGGTGATGTCAGTAAGGTAGGCCCAGTGACAAAAAATGGTGCCAGAGGATTGGCATCATCGTTGTTATTTGGGTCTGGCGCTTGCAACGGGGAAGTGGTAGCAGAAGGGTATTACAACAACATCAAATTGGGCCCAGCGGCAAGAGATGTGACTCTGACGTTGGCAGGTCTAGTGTAGCTGATGGCGAGGTGGTGGCGGAGGAGAATCCTCGCAGTGGCAAAAGATGGCACCTGAACAGGACAACTTCAATGTTGGTTGGCTCCAGTGTAGGTGGCGGAGAGGCAGTAGAGGAGGGATGGCAATACAGGCGTCATTGCTGATGAGCTGGTTCAGGAATCTCTTTAGGCTCTATCTTTTTACCTTTTTCTTATTACTAAAACTATTCAAATGGCATCGGATCATGGCAACAGTGAAAAAGCTTTTCACTGTATTTTACTGTTTTTCTCACTGTAAAATATATATGTCAATAAAATCATTTATTCATCCATTCATTCCCCTTGTAAAGGGCAAGAGTACAAAAGCTTCATCTCCTGCTTTGAAATTTTTGGTGTGCCCACTCTTTCCTTTCATTTTGGGTAGTTTTCAGACCTTCCTGCACAACTCTATATGCTCCTGTTAATCTTTTGAGAAATGTGGACATATTCTCGAACATTGAATAAGAGGTGCTGCTCCTCCAATTTGCAGGTGGCGTCATTGTGACGTTGGAGGAGGCCATCCCACACACTGGAGGAGCAGCACCTTATATTCCACCTCAGGAGCCTACAGCCCAAAAGCCTAAATGTGTATTTTACCAGTTTTAAAATCTCCCTACCCCCAGCCTCATTCCATGACCAACCCTTCCTCTCATCCCTGCCTCCTTGACTTGGCACAACCTGTCCATCATCTTTCCCTTCTATCTGCTCCTCCCACCTCATTCACTGATCCCCACCACTCCCTATCTGCACTCACCTATCACCATCCCACCTATCTTCCCCAGCCCCACCACTCCTCTCTGTATTCTGAGCTCCGTCCCCCATCCCTCCATCAACTCCCCCCCACCCCAAAGAAGGGTCCCGACCTGAAATGTCAACTTTCCTGCTCCTCCGATGCTGCCTGGAATGTGTTCCTCCAGCTCCACACTGTGTTATCTCTGAATTCTTCCACTACCATTTTAGTTTTGATTGCTCTTAATGGAAAGGCTCTGGAAATTAAGTCGTCATATCTGTGAATAGTAAGGATATATTCAATTCTGGCTTTTGTTTTAGGTACAGGTCCTAATGGTTCCTCAAAAATGGAATTAGGGGTGTTGCTTTCATTACAACTTGACAAGTATGACATTTTACAAAAGTACACCATATCTTTATGCAATTTTGGCTGGGTAAAATACCTGTTTGTGAATGCCTGAGTTTTTAGTATCCCCACATGCCTTGCTATGGGAATTTCATACGCTAGTTGCAATATCTCCCTTTGTTAGCTGGGCAGTATGACTACCTAATGTACAACTGACCATTCTTCACCATGCAGGTCTATGAGGGCATCTCCACTTACTCATCAGCACTCCATTTTTCAGATAATAGCACTCCTGAACTCCTTTGGCCTCTACCTCAGTATGAGATGACTGTGCTAATCTGATTAACTCAAGATCTTTTTTTTTTGCCATAATTGGAATATCATACCAAACACTCCACTTGGATTATCTTCATCCTTTAGGAAAGATTCAGATGTCCTTTCAGTTGCTTGTGGTGTCACATCAAACCTCATTGTTGGATTATTTTTAACCATTATACTAATTACTATACACAGAGGAAAGACGTCAGGAACCTGTTCCTGTAATTGTTTTGTTTCTTGTACCTCCTTGGCCATTGTGTAATTATGGGTGAAGTGACTATTTTGTCCATAGGTAATGTTTTTGTTACTCCAACAATTACTTCTCCTGATAACAGATCACAGTTCTACTTTATATAATGGAACTGAAAGATATTCTCCACCAATCCCGTTTACTGATACCTTAGCTCCCATTGAACTCTCTGAAGGAGTAATCAAGTTCTTCTCCAGTAAAAATGATTGCATTGGGCCTGTTCCTTTCAGTATGGTTGTGGGTTTAGCTATCTCACCTGAAGAAAAAGGAGTCGACAACAATGTGCACACCTTCCATCTACTTTACACATTTCTTTACTACTTACAGTATTCACCTCAAGCCTTTTCATTAGACTTAAAGCTACAACTTGGTCCACGGTATTATCCTTTTGTGATAACCTTCTCTGACTTATAATTCTCTTAGGTCTACCTTGCAACCTCCAACGTTCCGAATGCACATGGCCCAACTT